TGTGAAAATATGAATTATAATAGAATTACAGTACTGAATCCTTTACAGATAGTGGCTTCAGTTATTTTATTGCAGTGGTTTATTTATTTGGAATTGTTTATGGAAATACAGCTGCACATTAATACAATATTTGAATATTTTTTTTTTTCAGGAAAAACTGAACACTAGAAAGGTCAGCAACATGAGCACATCGCTGATTTTGTGAGGGTGAAATTGTCTTTTTTAAGAATATTGAATATTGAATCAGTACATTAGTTGAATTAGAGGTGAATTTGATTCAATGTTCCATTATAGTATATAAATGGATGTTAAAATGTATTTATCTATTATATGTTTTAAATTTCTTTTTTTTTTCCTTGGCTATTTCATAGAGGGGAAATAATGATCAAGTTATTCATAATTATGATGGGATTTGGGGATTTTGTGAATTTCTGTGAATTTCTAACAGATACAGTACTTGTCCTCTTTCCATAATCTGATGATTGTTTGATGAGGATGTGGGAGGAGTCGACAAACTGTCATAGAGACATTTTTAGGTGGAGGCATCTGCACCTGCCCAAATTCTCCGTAATCACAGAAATAGCAACATAGACTGTATACAGATAGACATAAAAAAGAACATGTGCAAGAGAATGATGAAAAATAAAGATAAAATGGGGGTTGGGGGAAGAATGGGGGGAAAGAGAGAAAGATAATTTTTGTTTTTGTATAATGTTTTAGCACCGTGGGGACAGGGGGCCACGGTGATACATTCCCATAGAGCCGCTGTACAAAAACCTCCCTCCATGTACAGTCAATTAGACAGAGACAATGAATACAAACACTGCAAACGTTTCTAATGGATTTCAACATTAAATATTATAGATATCTATCTAGAGAAGTGTTATTAATATTTTGAGCTATTACCACATTTTTAATGAATTTGTAAAAAAAAATTCAGCGGTAAATACATGTGGATACTTGAGGTTGGACTTGCCTGGATAATTTGATCATTTACCTTGTAGCAAATCAAAGTATATTTTGGATTTACATGCTTTTACATTGAACAGCCTCCTGGGAGACAACTATTATAGAATTAACAGGCTTTTACATGATCATGGAGGAAAAAAATTGAATTCTAATGCAAATTTCGGAGTACTCTGAAACAATGTGCTTCTGGTTGGCAAGCATATTTTGGAAATGGAACAAAACTGACAGTTTTAGGTAAGTTTGTTTTAGGTAATTTAGTTAAGATTGCTTTAATGTATAAATGTGACTACTGACCAATGCTCATATTGTCTGGCCTATACCTTTCATACTCCATTTTGACTAAACTATGACAGCAGTAGGGAAGGTGCCTCCAAATCAGACCCAAATACTTTAAATAATTTGTACCCATAGCTTAAGTCATAAATTTGTGCACACCATCTCAGTGTGACAATGCTTACCAGGCACACTTTGGAGATGGAACAAAATTAACAGTTTTAGGTAAGAAACCCTTTTAACTATACTAATATGTAGGCCTGCATGGGAATATCAGACAATAACATAATATTTGTTGAGCTCAAGTGGCTGATGATTGTCCATTAAGGTTAGACTATGCTGAAATGTTGTGAAAAAAATACAGTGCAATTTCAGTATTCGATTTGAGTCCCTTTTTGACATGACAGTCGTATGCTGTGCCAATTATCAAGCCTATTTCGGTAGCGGCACCAAATTAACAGTTCTTGGTAAGTACTACTTCAACTTCAGTTGGAAACGTTACGAATATACTGTGCAACAATAGTATGAGTTGATCATTTAAAGCAGCATGATTGAAAACATAAAATGTGTCATTTGAGACAACAGAGAATGCAAAAATATCAACGAACTAAAAAAAAAAAAGAACTGTGTAGAATTAGGTAAATGTAAGGGTTATGAAGTTCAAGTTATTTTATCAGTGAGCCTGCATGCTGTGTTTTGGAAGCAGCCAGGCTATCTTTGGTGAAGGGACAAGACTGATTGTTCTAGGTAAGAACTATTTTTGTAAATGTAAAAGACTAATTAAATACAGATAATGTATTTACTACATTCAATTACCAATGGGAATTGCATAATATAGTTGAGAATGTTTTTGTGAGACTGAAGTTAGTGATACTGTCGTGATACTCTGTGCTCAAACACGCCAGCATATTTTGGAAACGGCACCAAACTTACTGTTTTAGGTAAGAAAAATAACAATTATGATTATAAATCGTGTGCAAATATTAAGTGGAATGACTCAAAAGCATCAAAAATGGTTGGCAAAGTAATATCTTTATTATGTCTAATGAAATTGAATGAAATGAAATTCGAGTCTTGTTTGTGACAAAGTTCTACACCATCCAAGATTTGCTAAATATTGTTAACCAGTGTTTTTTGGTAATATATTTATTTTTAGCATGCTAACTTTATTATAGCCATTGTGGTTTAGAAGTAGTTTGTAGAAAGTCTTTAGTTTTTTACAGTCGTTTGACATCAGTGCAATCAGTACAGTTCTGCATACTTTGGCAGTGGGACTAAACTTACAGTGACAGGTGAGACATTTTTGACTGAATTTGTTGGATAAATATTATTAGGTGCTGAAGTTTGTGGATAATTCTTTTGGAAACAAGTCTGTAACCAGCCATTGATCAGTGTCCAGACATCCTAGACATTTTATTAGTGCATATGTGTGCTGTGTCAACTACTGCTCAGGCTCATTTCGGTGAAGGAACGAAATTAACTGTACTTGGTAAGAAACACATTTCATATTGTTTAAATGGCAATGCTTAATCAAAAATCAAAATTGCTGATTACATTTATTTAAGCCGACACTGGTCAAATCTACTATATCAGATTTAATGCATTCTGAGGGTTCAAAACTCTTTATTTCAATTGAAAAGTAATTTTTTTGTATTGTGGAATTAGTGATGGCATATAGATGGTATTAGGAGTAGAGGAAGTTTTTTCTGTAGCGTAGAATCAGTGTGAATAACAACCCTGCATACTTTGGCGATGGCACCAAACTCACAGTACTAGGTAAGAAATAGTTTGACTTTATTTTGCATAGTCTTCTGCATCATAGCAAGACAACTAAGAGACATGTCTAAATTCACTGATATCATTTGACATTGGGATTTAGGAAATAATCTTATCGTTTGTAAAATAAGTATAACGATGCATAAAAGTACAAGTATAAAAATCATCTTCCTCAGCATAGATACAATGATTAAGCATTTCTGAAGCCTCAATGTTTAGACAAACTGCAAGACTTAAGTCCATAAAGCCGAAGTAATTTTATTAGTGCCCATGTATGCTGTGACTCTGGTGGAGGTGGTCAAGCTGTCTTCGGCAATGGAACAAAGTTAACAGTTCTGGGTAAGACATAAAACAAAAGTTATATTAATAAGCTGACCTTTAGAAATATATTGGAAATATTAGAACATACTATTATTATTTCATAATCTATGCCTAGTAGTTCAATAAAGAAAGGATGTTTTCCAATTCTTCTTAACACTTCTTAGTGTTAGACAGCATGCTTAGGCATTTGATTGTCAATTGTTATAGTGTTGTGTTCCCAAGTTACTGAAAAGAAAAACAGTTAAATATGTAGGAAAGATCTTAAGGAGGTTTCATCTGTAGCATAAAATCAGTGTGATCAGTACGACCCTGCATACTTTGGCAATGGCACTAAACTTACAGTTCTAGGTGAGTAAATTGAGTATGTTGATGTTTAGACCTAAGGAAATGGTATTTGTTAAGTGCACTATGTTGCGTTTTCAAAATAATATTCTATGTGCATGACCCATACTTTAAAGACTTTAGCATTTGCTGTCTTGAGTAAATTTGTTAGTGCACGTGCACTGTGACTCTAGTGCTTCTCAGGCTTACTTTGGCCATGGAACAAAGTTAACTGTACTAGGTAAGAAAAATCTATTTAAAAAACAAATATGTCAGACAATATAAATGAAAACGTCTTCATGATCTTGACTATAGCTGAGGTTTTAACTGTAGCTTAGTATCAGTGTGAACACTGGCGGTGTTGCATACTTTGGCAATGGCACTAAACTAACAGTTCTAGGTGAGTAATTTGAGAATTATTTATGATATGCAAATCAGAACACTGTAGAAATGTAGCTATGTGATGTTCAGTTATTTATTGATTTTAATATGCAACCTTCTAAATTATGCTGTTCGTGTTTTATATTTATAAAATGACTAAAATGAGCACACTCTAAGTAAATTAGATCAATATAATCAAGCAGCATTCATGGGGCATTTAATTTAAAAAATGCCTTGGATTTGGCACCATGAGTGGATTTGTCAGTGCACATGAATGCTGTGCTCTGGTACTTATCCAGCTCACTTCGGCAATGGAACAAAGATAACCGTTTTGGGTAAGACTATACAAAAATGTTCATGCTATTTCAATGATTGCCATAGACATGCCTACGCTAGACACTAAATCAAAATGCGCTGAATTATGTCAAATGGAGGTTAGTAACAATTTAAACGTTGCTATGTGAAATCTAAAATTGTATTAAGTTGAAATTAACTGAATTGGAATACTTCTCAGTAATCCTGAGATAATCAATCTTTAAAATGTCTTAAGTTAGACGTATCGAGGTACGTAGAATCATTTATGATTTTGACTATCTGAGGTATTAACTGTTGCATAGAATCAATGTGAACATGGGTAGTGCAGCACACTTTGGTAATGGAACTAAACTTACAGTCCTAGGTGAGTAATCTGCATAATATTTCTGAACTTACTAGAATATTTAGAACAACACATCCTGCTTATTTGATGTTCAGGTCTAATAGGAGGGTATTTTTGACAGTTTTCAAAATGATATTGCTTTTTTTGTATATCTCTCTGATGTATAAATCACTATATGGTAAATTACTACTCATTGTACAAAAAAATATTTTGTGACATTCACATGGCAATCAAGTAGAACCCTATACTTGGTCTTTAGCATTTGCTGTCTTGGGTAAATTTGTTAGAGCACATGCGTGCTGTGACTCTGGTGTTGCTCAGGCTTATTTCGGCAATGGAACAAAGTTAACTGTACTCGGTAAGAAAAATCAGATTTTTATAATTATGTCATATATTGAGTGGCAAAGTCTTCATGATCTCGACTGTAGCAGAGGTTTTAACTGTAGCTTAGTATCAGTGTGAACACTGGCAATCCTGCATACTTTGGCAGCGGCACTAAACTTACAGTTCTAGGTGAGTAATTTAAGTATTCTGTGTCTTATGTAAAACCTTAGCAGGATATACAAACATGTAGATATGTGATGTTCTGTTACTTATTGACTGTAATATGCAATGGATCTTCTAAGTTATGATGTCTGTGTGTTATATTTATGAAATTACTTTAAGGAGCACACTTGCCAATAAGTAATCTAAGTAAATTAATTGGATATAGTTGAGAAGCATTCATTGGACATTTAAGCGGAAAAAAGGGACTTGAATTTGGCATCCTGAGTGAATTTGTTAGTGCACATGTGTGCTGTGACTCTGGTGGTAGTTCTCCAGCTTATTTCGGCAATGGAACAAAGCTCACTGTCCTGGGTAAGAATATTCAAAAATGTGCATGCTATTTCATGGATTGCCAATGACATCTTTATGCTAGACAAGGTACAATGCAATTATGACAAACTGAAGTAAAAAATTATAATATTGCTGTATGATATCTAAAATAATATTAAATTGAAATGAATCGAACTGGAATACTTATTCATCTTGAGATAGGCATTCTTTAAAATTAACTTTTTTAAAACACTTTATGATTTTGAGGTACAGTATTAACTGTTGCATAGAATCAGTGTGAACTTGGCTAGTGAAGCACACTTTGGTAACGGCACTAAACTTACAGTCCTAGGTGAGTAATTTGCATAATATTTCTGAACTTACTAGGATATTTAGGACACATCCTGCTTATTTGATGTTCAGGTCTAAAAGGAGGTTATTTTTTTGACAGGTTTCAAAATGATATTGCTTTTTGTATATCTTTCTGATGTATAAATCACTATATGGAAAATTACTACTCATTGTACTAAAATAATTGTTCTTTAGTAGATAATTTTGTGATAGCCGGAGGGCATTCAAGTAAAACATATGCTAGGGCTTTAGCATTTGGTGTCTTGGGTAAATTTGTTAGAGCAAATGCGTGCTGTGACTCTGGTTATGGTCAGGCTTATTTCGGCAATGGAACAAAGTTAACTGTCCTAGGTAAGAAACATAAACTCTTCATGTTATTTCAATGATTGGCATTGATAACATTGGAGGTCATTAACAAAAGTAATATTGCTATGTGCTATCTAAAATTGCTGAATTGGTATTGGATGAACTTGCAGTTCTCGAGAATCTGATTATATCTTAAAAATGAGGTTAGATATAGTGGGATGAGTGGCACTGTTTAAATGAATCCAACTGTAGCTGAGGTTTTAACTGTAGCTTAGAATCAGTGTGAACTCTGGATATCCTGCATACTTTGGCAATGGCACTAAACTTACAGTTCTAGGTGAGTATTTTGAGTAGTATGTGTGAATTTTAGCGCTTAATATTTTTAATATGTTATCTAAGATTGTGGAATAGGTCTAGTCTTGAGAAATGTAACCAGATAGACTGGAATAAGTGGCAATGTTCACATGCTCTGCAGTATATTTGAGGTTTTAACTGTAGCTCAGAATCAGTGTGAACAATCTCAATCCTGCATACTTTGGCAATGGCACCAAACTAACAGTTCTAGGTGAGTAATTTAAGTATTATGTTTGATATTCATAACCTAATATTTTAATAGGATATCTGCAAATGGCGTTCTCATGAATCAGAAGAACTGAAAATATGTGCAGTCTTTAAAAATGAAGTTAGATAAAGTGGAATAAGTGGCAATGATCTCCAGTATAGCTGAGGTTTTAATTGTAGCTTAGAATCATTGTGAACAATCACAGCCCTGCATACTTTGGCAATGGCACTAAACTTACAGTTCTAGGTGAGTCATTTAAGTATTTTGTTTAATATTCATAGCCTAATATTTTAATAGGATATCTGCAAATGGCGTTCTCATGAATCAGAAAAACTGAAATATGTACAGTCTTTAAAAATGAAGTTAGATAAAGTGGAATAAGTGGCAATGCTCACATGATCTCCAGTATAGCTGAGGTTTTAATTGTAGCTTCGAATCATTGTGAACAATCACAGCCTGCATACTTTGGCAATGGCACTAAACTTACAGTTCTAGGTGAGTAAATTGAGCAATCTGATATTTAATAATTTTCTTAAGTCATCTAAAATGACTGTGAATTGGAATACTTGGACTAGCTAATTCATCTTTAAGAATACATACATAGTTGGATAAGTGGCAATATTCACATGCAGCTGAGGTTTTAACTGTAGCATAAAATCAGTGTGAACAATGCCAACCCAGCATACTTTGGCAATGGAACTAAACTGACAGTTTTAGGTGAGTAAATGTAGAATGCTGCTCTTCAAGAGCTTAAATGATTTTGATATAGTATAATATAAAGAGTATATCTAAAATGATGGTGTCAATTAGAAGAACTAGAGTTAAATATAGTAGGATAATGTTCACATGATCTCCACTCTATTTGAGGTTTTAACTGTAGCTTAGAATCAGTGTGAACTTTGGCAATCCTGCATACTTTGGCAATGGCACCAAACTTACAGTTTTAGGTAAGAATATTTGTTTGCTTGTGTTTTTGGTATTTTATCAGTTTGCAAGTTCTGTGCATTTGTGGGTGAAATTGTGACAATGTGCTTTTATTTCTTAATACTGCAATTCATAATTTCAACTAAACCCAAATAAGTAAATGGTGTATGAATTAGTCAGAGACACTGGCATAAGAGTAGAACACTGTCACTGATCTACTTCTGAGAACATTCTGTGCTAAAAACAGTGCTGAGCTTTGAGGTCTGAGATTGAAGTACCAGAATGACAGGTTTAGATAATAGTCAGCCTTTAGACAACCTATTTGCCTTACTACCACTCAAATTGTTAATAATATATCAATGATCTATAGCATTTTTGAAAATTTGTATGCTGAGTGTCATATTCATTCATTGTAGAATGTAATCAGGTTAAAGTGATAGGAAGAGTTTTACTGTAGCCGTTGAGCAGTGTGAACAACAGACCTGCATACTTTGGCAATGGAACCAAACTTACTGTTCTGGGTAAGAAAGAAAATAATGTTTTTTTGATAACACTTCAGTTTAGGGACTAATTCTTACTATTAACTAGTTGCTTATTAGCATGCATATTACTAGCATATTGACTGTTTATTAGTGCTTATAAAGCACTTATTAATGTCTTATTCTGCATGACCATATTTTAGATCTCTTAATTCTACCCCATACCTAAATATAACAACTACTTTACTAACTATTAATGAGCAACAAATTAGGAGTGCATTGAGGCAAACGTTGAAGTTAAGAGTTAGTTAATAAGAAGAATAACTGAATATATAGGTGATGTATAATGTGAAACACCAGCTTATAGTTCCTCTAGAACTTTAGCAACTCTTGTTGATGTGCACTGTATGAATCGGTGTTTTTATAAGCATGTAATACTGCTGATATACTTTATGCTCCATCAAGTAAGATAGTTGCTATGAGCTGCATATAACTGTAAAGCGACGAGTACAGATACATTAGCAACAGTACATTAGTTGATTGTGGTTTTCCTGTTGAAGAAGCAACTGCTCTTAGTAGGAATTGTGTATTGTGCAAAGGGGTTATAAACAGTATTGTGTAATTTCTTTTATAACAACAATAATAATAAAAATAACAAATATAACAATCATCATCATCAACATAAAACTGCATGATTATTTAGTTTACGTTCCAGCAGACTGAAATATCATGGGAAAATTGGTTTCCAAAATTGTTAATGTATATATGTCTATACTAATAGTTTGTTACATATGCTTATAATGTATAATATTGTTTTACAGAGCGTGATATAAGCAAACCAGAAGTAGAAATTCTAAAACCCTCTGGAAATGAGACGAGCTGTAAGCAAAAAGTCACTCTTGTGTGTGTGGCCAAAAACTTCTACCCAGACCATGTGAGCATAACATGGAAGATTGGAAGCAAAGACATAAACGATGATGTAGCGACAGACCCTTATGCCACTCAAGACAAAGAAACAAAATTGTTCAGCATAACCAGCAGACTTAAAGTCTCTAAAAAAGAATTCAAACCACAAAACACATTCAGATGTACTGTGAGATTCTACAATGAAACAGACGTTTACACTGAGTCAGCCAGTGCAATCAATGGAATTGCAGGTATTTCATTAGACATAAGTTGAAAGATGAAAAAAAAGAAACATGCTTCAAGTAATTTTAATATTTTAATATTTGGGTCTTCTAATCAATTCTTTTCTAATTACAGGGGGTGGATATGAGCCAGGTAAGGGTTTGCTCTTTTCTTTTTGGATGTCTATCTGCAAAAGATGAATTAGGATCAGAGGTCAAAGGTTTATCAGTAATGTCATGCTGAATAATATGTTATGATTTGATCTTTTAATATCCAGAAGACTATATAAAATCATCACGGAGGATGAAGCTGGCATACGGTGTGTTCATCGCTAAGGGTGGACTGTATGGTCTTGTCATCTTAGTGTATGTATGGAGAAAGGTAAGGATGATGAACTTGTAATTATAATGTATAATTTCAAACATAAGTGCTGGAAGAATATTAACAACATAAGCGTTAAGTGTTTGGTCACATGTGTTAGTTTTCGGAATGTCTCAATGTTCATGTGATATTTGTTACAGGGTTCATCTGGAAAGTGAATGAACTGAACATTCCTGGATTGACCAAGTTTGAGTTACCAAGAAAACTCGATCCATTTACTCCATCCAGAAGAGATGCTGATTATATAACTGAAGACTCTTTCTATACTGTTTCGTTTTATTTCTCTCTTTCTGTTCTTTTCTGAGTGTGTATCCCAGTGAAAATCTGCAGGTACTTCAGATCAGAGTAATCATAAAATATTTTTTTATAATATTTGTTTTTCTTTTGCTTATTTCCTTGCTACTGTACATAGTTACAATTCGATAACAAACTACTATACTAGTAAAACAGACTTAACAGAGCTAAATATAATTCATTGTTTTTCATATTAAGATTTACTGTATTTTTTAAAATTTGTTTTTACATAAATAAAATCTATAACACATGCTTATTACCCACAAAGAAAATTATTATCTACAAGTATTTTTTTTTTAAATATACCTTTAATCACTTATTTTATAGGCATGTTGTTCACCAATTCAAGACTAATAGCTATTTTGATAGCTTAATTTTTTGCTGTAGATAATTTGGTAGAGTACATGGCACTTGCTGTTAAAGGTTTCATTCTCAGAGAGCACAAATAAATTGTATACCTTGAATTGCTTTGAATAAAAGCATCTACAAAATGCATAGAAATAAAAGACAATTTGTAGCCGAAAGGATTGAAACTGCTTGGCTTTGGCTACATCCTATTCCTCAGCAAAAGCCTGCTGTATGCGCTGATTGTGGCTGGTGTGGTGTGCAAACTCAAGGTAATTCCTGATAACTATAACACACAAATCACACATCAAATATGCATAAACAGTATATGAATATATAGGTATAGATGGATGGACTGATGCATGCGATCCCATAATATGATATGAATGTATTCCCCTACAGTTTTCAGCGAAGAACAAACAATTACCAGAGGACTGAGATACCTTGTAACTTTGTCAGTGAGACGCCAGAAGTGACTTTCTTTTTATTTACAAATGTGTAATATGTCTGTATATTTCCCACATTTTACTAGATTCATGTTTGTTTTATTTGTGTATGACATCAAATCACACATGTAATCATGTTTTTCTTTTCTTCTTTTTTTAAGCATGACAGTTTAAAGTAGATAGTGACTGGATAAGAATGAATAACTAACAACGAGAAACTAATAAAGTAGAATGTGACGTAAACAGTTTTGTATTCTGTTTTGTGCGATGACTAAAACATTCTGCATTTACGAAATTCTGAGGCCTTTGTTTTATGAGAAACAGAGTATATTTGCATGTGTTATTCTTTTTTTCAGTGGAAAATCTGCACTTTTGGAAAGTGTGGGTTGTTATCTAAGTTACGTAAGAATCTTCCATTGCAATAAGAAAAATAAGACTACACATGTGGCCTCTCTCATAATGAGTTCTAAAGCTTTTCTCAAATTCCTGGAACATTGCACATAAGAAAAATGTGAACTGAAAATAACAGCAACAACTTGATTTTGTAAATGCATATGTCTTCTGAAATAAATAACTAATACGATTTGCTTCTTTTCTACTTGAAAATGTGAATAAAATCCAGAAGAGATATTCTACTTTGAATGGTTTATAGATGATTTTAAGTGCTGTACTGCTGCAGCTGAAAGCAGGATGTGGTGTCATTTCTTTGCAAGCAGTTTGGAGGTGTTGGGGAGGATGTGGTCAGAACGTTCTCGAGATGTTTGTGCTTCATCCTGCATCTTTCACACACCTGCTGCTGCACACAAGCCTCAAAGCTCATGCATGTCTACAGACTAAACCAATAAGAAACAAAAAAGAGCTGTTGGAAACTGGTGCAGAAACTGGTGATTCATTCGAGGAGCATGCTTGCAGGTTATTCTATCAACAGTCTGCACCACACCCCCCCACATCTGTATTGTTTTTCTGGAACATGTTGAACTCATGCATTATGAATCAGTCGCTCACTCTGAGTAATCTGAAGCACATTGAAATGCTGTTAGTTTTTCCAGTAAATGATATTCTACATTGTGATGAAAGAGTGGGTTAATACTTCAATAAAAATAATTCAAACGGGTTTTGATTAGGCCAGAGGAACATATTTAAAGAATTTGAAGAGAAAATAAAAAGTTAATTTTGAATTGATTATTGTTTTTACACATAAGTCATTGGGGTTTCTGGGACAGTAAAGTCAATCTCAACACAAGGGGTATATTTTGCTGTAGATTTTGTTGTTTTTATGGACAAAAATTATGTCACACCTCTTCCAAACAAATCAATTTGAGACAGAGCCTCAAATTAAACAATAGCCTTCAAATTAACTTGAAAAGCAGTTTTCATCCCTGAGAGTTTTTGTACAGCTTTCATTGTAGTCTGTCATACTGTGGGGACTGGCTGCACAGAACCAAACAACAGAACCAATATCGGTTACACTCTTGGACTCCAGCACTATCTGAAGAAGCCCTGATCTGTTAGATGAAAAATCCCCCACGCTTGCTGGATCCACCATTCCTACACTGAAAGAACTGAACATCAGCTTGAAACCATCTGTTGGGGTCCAGCGGTACCAGTACAGGTTTGGGTTATCAGTGCCGGTGATGGAGCAGACAACCTTCAGTGGTTCTCCTCGTTGAAGAATAAGCACCAAAGGGTTTTGGTTTACCTGAAGACCTGAGACAAAAAGAATTGGAATGAGTCATTTAAGACTTAAAACTTTATAAAGCTGGTTTTGAGCAAATCAGCAGCTTACACATAGTTTGAGGCCATTGTAATGATACAAACAAGATAGCAAAATACAACTGCATCATGAATAGCAGAACTCAGCAAAGTCTTGAGGCTTAAATAATCATGGCGCGCCTCTAGAGGTGGGGTTGGGTGGTGTAGCTTAGTGGAAAAAGATCTAGATTGGTAACCAAATGGTTGTAGGTTTTCACCTCGCAGGGGGAAATCCGTCAACTATCAGCACTTGACAAAGATACTATATAACAGGTTGGTTAAGGGGAATGTTCATAAAGTGTACTATACAGTAAGTCACTTGGATGTGCTTACAAAGAAACAGAAGTTCACTGAAACTCATTAAGTTAAAAAAAAATTGGCTGAGTGATATTTGTTCACTTTGCTTCCATATAAACAAGGTGAATTTAGAATAAGACTGAATTGATGGCATAATTCTGTCTAAGGATACATCCATCTTATTTTGTGACACTGCAAGGCATTTCTATAGATTAAACTACTTGGTTAAGGGGAATGCTCATAAAGTGTACTATACAGTAAGTCACTTGGATGTGCTTACAAAGAAACAGAAGTTCACTGAAACTCATTAAGTTAAAAAAAAAATAGGCTGAGTGATATTTGTTCACTTTGCTTGCTTCCATATAAACAAGGTGAATTTAGAATAAGACTGAATTGATGGCATAATTCTGTCTAAGGATACATCCATCTTATTTTGTGACACTGCAAGGCATTTCTATAGATTAAACTATGTCGTTTGTTTGATTAGCTCTCTGTTATGAAAATAATTTTTTTTTAAGTATTAACTCTGTATTTTGCTAAACGTAAATATGTGGTTGTTAATTCAGTGACAGAAATAGCATATTTACATGTCTCATTAATCATAAACATTTATCTGCAGTGAAAAACTGCATAATATAGTGTGATGGCACGTTAAGCATATGTTGCATAAGCAACTTTAACTATGAGAGAATGATATATGTCCTGATGCATCCACTTTTACCTCATCCAATTAAATATTGTCCAAAATGTTGTTTCTAAAATTCAGATGTATTAGCACATTCCATTTTAACATGAAGCCACCGTCTTTATATTTCAGAATTCAGATACAGCACACAAAACAATGTGTAATATATATTAGGTAGTATATATTAGTTGTTCTGTTAACTGTACTAGCATAATTTGCAAAAATTCTAACCAGGTGGGACAAACATTTTCTTGTACTAACTGCTAAACAAATACACAAGCAAGGAATCTATCTATCTATCTATCTATCTATCTATCTATCTATCTATCTATCTATCTATCTATCTATCTATCTATCTATCTATCTATCTATCTATCTATCTATCTATCTATCTATCTATCTATCTTATGGCCTACTGCTTAACCTCAACAGAGCATTCAGAGCCCCTCGCATCATGGGTGCTTTCAAATTCATGTTACTTTGGTTATGTTTCATAACAACTAAATAAGTTAATGTTGATGTCTGAACACCATAAGCACTATAAGCAATCATCTTAAATAAATAATAATATTCATAATCCATAATAGGTCACTAGGTAAAGAACTACACAGGACACATTTTTATCAATGGCCTGGAGAGGAATAGTGGTTAAGACTGGATAGAACTGGATCCATGAGGTTACAAAAAAAAATCACGTGACACCACGTTTCCTTCAAAGCAACTGAGATGTTAGAGAAATCTGAGGTCTGTGAGCCACGCTCATATACCTGCAATGTTGTATTATAGGGCCATCTGCTGGATTATTGTCTTATTGCGATTCGAATGCATGACATTTATGACTGATATTTCAAATAATATTTCATGGTTGTTATGCATGATTACATGTTATATAAATGATTTTCTCTCATATATATATATATATATATATATATATATATATATATATATATATATATATATATATATATATATACATATATACATTTTCCTTCTTCATTTAAGGGGGAAGTCGTGGCCTAATGGTCGACTGAGGTGCCCTTGAGCAAGGCACCGAACCCCCAACTGCTCCCCGGGCGCCGCAGCAAAAAAAAAGGCTGCCCACTGCTCCGGGTGTGTGTTCACGGTGTGTGTGTGTGTGTGTGTGTGTGTTCACTGCTGTGTGTGTGCACTTTGGATGGGTTAAATGCAGAGCACTAATTCCAAGTATGGGTCACCATACTTGGCCACGTCACATCACTTTCACTTTCACTTTATGAACTTGCTGTGATAAACAACTTGTGATATTCCTAATTTATAAATCACTTTGGATAAAATCATCTGGCAAATGAATATAAATTAATTAACTGATTGATTGATTGATTGATTGATTGATTTATGTTTTTGCATGCATAATAAAGTATTTTGGGGTTAATTTGTGCAGATTCACCATGTGGAATCCATAATATTGGAGTCTGCATGCAACATCACTGGCTTGAACATCAAACTAATTTTAATATTACATAATAAATTATTTAATATCCGTGTATAATATTAACTCCAAAACAATGAACAATGAACAAAGAACTGAACTCTATAACCTGAAGTATGTTGCAGTATTGTCAATTTAAAGAATATCAGTGTCATCATATTAGTTCTCTGTCTAGATTACAAAATGTCATGAATACAGACTGCTCGAGAAGAAATGTCTGTTGAAAAATGTCACTTTGGATGAAAAATATATTTTTATGCACCACAAATCATTAAGGACATTTGGGTTTTTGTACAGCAGCACAGTCAGTCTGTGTCACTGTGCTCACTCACTGCACAGAAATACACACCACTGTCATCAGGTTGCAGCTTTTTCACTGTGAAAGACCCTCTCTCAGCTACAGTCTTTTCAGCTGAGTATTTATCATCAGAAAATTCACCAAAATCTGGCTTGCTGTCTGCCATCATGAAGGCAATGAATCTCATTGTTTCTCCCTGCCGCTGTCGAAACCAATACAT